ACTTTCCATAATTTGTTCTAACTAAGGGACAAAGGAGATTGTCTTTTGAAGCATAACGGGTATTGTATTGATGTTGTTCTTTTGCAAGTTTAAGCATGCCAGAAAATATATCTGGGACATGTGTCCTATCATTAAGGATTTTAAATGCAAGTTCACCTGCCTTTTAATATAGGATATTTTGAAATGTTAATATACTTAATAATTTATAGAGAGGGGCTGCATGTTCATAGTTATTACAGAAGAAAATTCTTCTCATACATTTATTTTGAGCTGTGAATATTTTAGTTAAATTTGTTTTGTACGTATTTCCCCAAGATAATATCCCATATGCTAAGTATGGATAAATTATTGAAAAATATACATCTCGTAATGTTTTCAAATTAACATAGTACCTTAACTTATTAATCACTCCGATATTCTTAGATATTTTACTGTGTACAAGTTTGATTTGATATTCCCAATGAAGATGCTGGTCAATATAAACTCCTAAGTATTTAATGTAAGGTTTTTGTTCAATTTTCAGAAGCTCTTTGTCATGTTGTTCCTGGATGCCAATACTATCTGGCACGTTTCACTTGGAGGCACGATTCCATCTTAAACTTCCACGCTGCATCACTGCTATCTAAACTCGACAAATCTTCATTATATGCTGACATTGAAGGTTATACCAGCCCCTCGCTTATAACTGGAGATGCCCACCGTCCTGATCTTCTTTATATTCTGGAATTAACAGTTGGTTTTAAATCAAATTTGAAAAATAATGTTGATCGAAAATACAAAAAGTACAAAAACATTATAACGAAAATAAGTAGTGATTTAAATCTGTTAAATTTGTAAATCTCTCGATTAGTTCTGTTGGAGTTTTCCGTAGTCTGCGGAATTAAGCTCAACGTTTTTGAAAATGTTCGACCAGCTAGGGTACGAGAAAAAGATAAATAGAAAAATAATCAACATTGCCATTAGATCCACATATTTCTTTTTTGTAAACGAAACAAAGACTGGGATAATCCCCCATTTAATGAATTTTTAGTATTTTCATTTCACTTCATTTTTCTCCTTTTTTAAAAAATTTTATTTATTTATTTATTTCATCTTCTTGTATGTATTCAAGTACATATTTTGAGCTATAAGCCTTTCATTTCATTAATGTAAAAGGGAATTTATTTTTAATTTAAGTAGCCAATAGCGCAGCGCACTGATTCTAAAAATTGCTTAAAGATTCGGACAAACATTGCATTCTGTTTAACCTCTACGAGGATTATACGAACCGGTTTTATTATTTTTACTTAAAGTTACAATAATAACCCATGTAAACTAAGATCAACT